AGCTGACCCCAGATGGTAGACCTACCTTCTTCGCCAACTAATTTTTCATCCTTGAGAGAAGCCATCTTCAAGGGAGGTCTAGTGATCTTCGGCATATTGGTAACAGTTTTAGTTGCATCCAGAGTCTGAGGTACCTCTTCGAAATTCTGGAACGGAGTCTCAATGAACTCACCATCCATTTCCACATATCTAAAGGAATCCAGGTGACTGACCATGTATTCTTCTTCATCGTGTACTGTGGCAATTCTCCCTTTTATCGGGTATTTCATCATCTGATGCAGAGTGGATGTAACACCTTCAGCCCCATGTATCCAAGGGAGGCCCAACAAACAGGAATAAGATGGTCTTATATCCATCACATAGAAGTCAGAGTCAAAAGTCTGAGAACCAACCTTGATAGGGACGTCCACCTCCCCGTGCACCATTCTCTTTGAGCCATCAAAAGCCCTCACTACAACATTGTTGGGCTTCAAGGTTAAACCTTCACAGTCTAGTCTATCCAGAGTGTTTTAGGCAGCACATTTAATGATGAACCAGTATCTACTAGGACATGGGCAAAAGTAGTGCCCTTGTATTCGACAGATACATGCAACGCATCATTGTGCTTCCTCCCTCTAGGAGTCAAATCAGCATCGGAAAAGCCCAAACCGTTATCAGCCGTCAAACTAGCCACATAATCTTTGAATTGGTCAGCTGAGGTTTCCTGGGGCACATGGGAAGTTTTCAGGAACTTCACCAGAGCCTTCAAATGAGTTTCAGAACACAACAGTAAGGCTAGCATAAAAATATTTGAAGGAGTCTGCCCCAGCTGTTCGACCATGTTGTAGTCGCTTTTCTTGATAATTTTCAAAATTTATTCCATTTCTTTCTTGGAAGCCTCTGGGATAGTTACCGAATGCGCCTCCATCTGGACAGGCTCAACCAATATGTCTTTTCCACGAGTCTCGGTCGACTCAGTGATAGGGGTGTCAGTAGGGGTAATCACAGGGATTGTAGTAGTAGTATCAGCAGGAACGAATGTAGGAATGATCACAGGACCAGTAACAGCTTCTGAAGGAGAAATCTCAGGGGATAACACTCTTCCACTTCTTGTTATTTGCTTGGTTCCAATAATGTTGACAATGTCGGGACCAGCATTCTCAGAAACCTGGTCTTTATCATCCAGCCAATCTTGCTTGACGCCGTGGTAGTAGACGTCACCCCCATAGTTCCAAGGAACAATTTTATCTGAGGAGTATGAGATTGGACCGGGCATAGTAATTATCAGCGGAGTAGCCTTCGGAACAAATGTAATCCTGAAGGGTCTTTTGGTGGAGACCCTAGGAGGATTGGCGGAAATGGTTATTATCGAAACATCTTTGCAAGAAATGTTTGAAACGGGATTCTTATCAAACAAAATATCTCTATCATCCATCAGGCGCTGAACACCTGCCTTCAACAAATGGCAACAAGTCGGTAGAGATAAACAGAAGTGGCAACCTTCACCACAGCCCGGAAATAAACTGCCCTTCAATAAATTCCACTTAACAGTCATAAGAGGAGTACCAACCTCTTCAACCATAGTAACAAACACATCATCCTCAACAGCATTAACACCACGATCGTGCTTGGGCATAGAAGCAGTGATAACATTTGGATTTTTAGGGGCGTCAAACTCAATTTCCTTATCCTCGATAATGTCTTGTACCCTGTTTTTCAAATCCCAAGAGTCGTTTGTATCACGACCTTGACTTTCTAAATGATAAGAATAACGGGCATTTGGATTATAGTGGGGAGAGGTAGTGTTGGGATTCTTTGGCGCTTCTCGCAAGGTTACCAGATTAGATTTCAACAAATGAGGCAAAACTTGGGATAAAGTCATATTTATCCGGGTGAACTGTCTTACCGACCTTTTTGTTCTCTGCTAATTATTCCTCTGTTGAGTGGGTGAAGGCTTAGGGATCATGACAACCCCTACCGTTGGATGGCATTCGGTTCTGTCCTGACTCCTTTGATTGTACACAGCACTAACCTTTTTCTTCCCAGCAAATGGCTTCTTTACTGTACTGGAGGATGCACTCTTCTGGATCTTACCACTTTTAATTCTAGCTTCCACTCTTTCCCCTGTCAAGATTAATTCAGTAAAGCTGGCCTAGGAACTTCCAATTAGGTGATTCAATAATGGACCAGAGAGGGTATCCAGAAACATATCCACTAGCTCCCTATCAGACAGGGGAGGCTGGACTCTTCCTGCTAAGTCCCTCCACTTGTGAGCATAGTCTTTGAAGCCCTCGCTCAAGCCCATAGCCATACTTTGGAGTTGAGTACGGGTGGGAGCAAGGTCTGCGTTATACTGATATTGCTTATAGAAAGCAGCGGCCAGGTCTTCCCAATTATGGGTGTTGGTCCTCTCCAACTGATAGAACTAATCTAACTGAGTTCCAAACAAACTATCCTGAAATAAGTGGACCCATAAATCTCTGTCAGCAATGTGTGGCTATACCTTTCTCATATAAGATCGGAGGTGCATCTTGGGACATGAAACCCCATTGTACTTGGAAAACACTGGCACCTTGAACTTTGGAGGAATGACAATCCCGGACACCAAACCCAGCTCTTCAAAGTCTAGCCTAGGAACTTTCTGAATCAGACAGGGGAGGTTGGACTCTTCCTGCTAAGTCCCTCCACTTGTGAGCATAGTCTTTGAAGCCCTCGCTCGAGCCCATAGCCATACTTTGGAGTTAATTATGGGTGGAAGCAAGGTATGCGTTATACTGATACTGCTTATAGAAAGCAGCGGCCAGGTCTTCCCAATTATGGATGTTGGTCCTCTCCAGCTGATAGAACCAATCTAACTGAGTTACAAATAGACTATCCTAAAATAAGTGGACCCATAAATCTCTGTCAGCAGTGTGAGGTTGTACCTTTCTCTCATAAGATCGGAGGTGCATCTTGGGACATGAAACCCCATCTTACTTGGAAAACACTGGCACCTTGAACTTTGGCGGATTGACAATCCCGAACACCAAACCCAGCTCTTCAAAGTCTAGCCCAGCCACTTTCTGAATCTCTATTGCACTCAGATGCTCTTCCATCTGTTTGTACTTTTTGTCAGCCGGAGTATACTGCTCTTCATTGTAATCAATCTCATTGTCAGATTCCTCCGGACTAGGGTCTTCCTCTCTTGTATCACCCTCTTGGTTATCTCCTTCTTTGGATGAAGATGTCAGATCAACCACTTGTTTTAATGGTCCCTTGAATCTTCTTCCCAGATTTACAACATCGGCTGTCCTCCTTGGCTTCTTAGTCATGTCTTTAACAATCAGGGCTTTTAGTTCTTCTTTCCCTTTGGCTAGAGCCATGATCATCTGTTGGAATTTTGCGTTCTGAGTCTGTAAGTCCTTCACAGTTTGTTCTAGAGCCATTGCTTTACGGCTAAAATAAACATCGAAGAAGATGAGAAACCTGCTATGAAACATGTTTATGAAATGATATGTATGACATGTGTATGCAATGATTTCAAGGATTTCGAGAAATTTAAATTTGCAAACCAAAATGAAACAATGACTATATTAGTAGAATTCAAAATACAATTTCCTTTTAGATATTTCAATTGAAAGTTCACAAAACAAAACAAAAATCAGGTTTCCCCATGGGCGCTTCCTTTTCGTGCCGAGATAGACAGTGAGGCTTCTTTCCTCATGAAGTTGCTTCGTGAGCTTTAAAACTTTCCTCTCATGGGCATAGAAATGGTCTCTAAAGGTATCCCTCTCTTTCTTCAGCTGAATCCAGGACCTCTGTAATTCTTCAAGATCAATGGGCATATCAGGATAAAGAACCGTATAGAGAATATCCCCTTCAGTAATCACTACAAGAAAATTAGTGTTTAACGACACAAAAATTGCGACAGTTATGTGATAATTGTCGTAATTGACATATAGAGACAGTGTTTACGACAGTTGACACCAACCGTCCCTAATATTTATTTTGCGACGGTATATTTAACCATCATAATATTATTATTACGACGGTAAAACAACCGTCGGCCCCTATTTAACACTTTTAACATTGATTTTTCACCAACAACTAGTCACGACGGTAAAATTAACCGTCCTAAAAGGCATATCACGATGGTAAAGCACCCGTCGCACCCTTAAACCTTTCACGACGGTAAAATTATCCGTCCTAAAATTAATTTCACGACGGTAAAACAATCGTCGCACCCAAAACCTTTAAAAATTCTCATGGGCACGACGGTAAAACACCCGTCGCCGTAAAAAAGTTAAAAAGCTCATAAAACATCCATTCACTTTCTTCTCCTGCGTTCACTTTTTCTACTCACGGTGCCATTCATGCCGTTCTTCTTCACACCGAAAGAAACCCCTTGACACCGAAAGGAATCTCTTCAAACCGCTCATCTTCACACCAAAAAACGCACAGCAGGCAGTTTAACATCCTCTGCGTTCATCTCTTCAAACACAGTAAGTTTTATGTATCACTTTTTGCATTGTTCTCATCTCTCTCATTCTCTGCCATTGATTTCAGCATTGGAGATTCACTTGAATCTTATGGTTGAGCTCTTTGTGATGATTGATTTTGAGTTTGAATATATTGAATTGATGTTAGGTTTTCTAATTTGTTGTTTTAGGGTTTTATTTCTTTTTATTTCTTTTTTAGGTTTTCTAATTTGTTGTTTAAGGGTTTGATCTGATTATTAGATTAAATATGTCGCTGGACCGATTAGAATCGATGAAAACTAATATAAATTGGTGAAATCAAAAAAATTGCCTATTTTCTTAAACAATGATTTATCAGTAATGAAGTACTGGAGTACTGAATTAGTAATGAAGTACTGATTCTTAAACGAAATGCATATATCAGTAATGAAGCAGCTGAACGTTTTTCAGTTTCCTGATCCTTTTTTTCACCTTCAATGGCCTTTCCTTCATTCACACCATTTCCGCTTTTCTTATACAACTCTAACAGGCCCTTTTCAGTAAGATGGAAAAGGGAGTTTAATGTCATACGATAAACTTGGCGAGCAGAAGAAAACACAAAAAGCTAGCTCCGATTAATATAGTGTGCCAGTTCCACTGCAAGATGGTAAATATTAGATCATCGATAGTGCATATTGAGAGAGTGAGTGAGAGAGAGAGAGAGAGAGAGATATATCATACTCCATGTTTGGCTGATGCAAACACTGAATGCAGCACGGAGACAATATCAGTTTTTGTTGTGAACATTTTGCTTTTAATGCCAAAGAAACCCTTTAGCTGTTGAAGGCCAATTGTGATGGCAGCACCTCCCATAAAACCAACAATAGCAGCATGGGATAGGAAGTCAATCAAGAATCCTAATCTGTTGTTTTCGACATAAAACAAATAAGAGAACCAACATAACTATAAGATCATCATGATATATTTGTAATACATGTATATCCGGTGTGCTTTGTAGGTTATACCTGAAAATCCCAAGAGTTGCTTGTGTAATCCCAGCGAAAAACGTGGCTGTAAAAGCAAGTCTTTGATATTCTGCTTTATGAGTAACAGGATCAATCTCATTACTAAGCAAAGTCCCCATCAAGAGAGAAACCACTACCACCGGTCCTATTGCTATATCGCGAGAACTCCCCATGAAGGCATAAATCAGCGGCGGAACAAAGCTCGAGTCTGTAAAACGGTAGACCAAAAACTAACTAAATTTCAGTTCAACATCCGAAATTCCAAAAACAAAACTCAGGATTTGAGACAAAAGTCTTAAACAGTCCATACTGCGGATCCAAATGCGCAAGCTTCGAGTATCCAATATCCTATTTCTCAAACCAAGTATTAAAACATAAACTGTGAAGCACCTAACATGAATCATGATCATGCATTAGCATAAAAAATTTACCTGAGGTATGCAAAGACTTGCAATAGTGAGACCAACAATTATATCTCCCCTAAACTTCTTAAGATTATAGCCTCTCCCCCAGTTAATAATTGGGAATATGGCCTCAATACAAAGAACTAGCTTTCTTGACTTAGTTTGGTCTTTGAAGGATCTTAGAGGATCATCAGCAAAGAATGTTTCTTTAACAGTATATTGGAATTCCTTGAACAAGTTCTGTTTTGGAGGAATTGCAACTTTGTATGCATTTGGTGTTTGTGCTTAATCATCTAAAGGCGATATCTGTTTTCTTTCTGTATCTTTATGAGTTGGAGAATCCATTGGAGATATCAACAGTGACCTTCACTATGTTATGTTATAGAGAGAAAAGTCATAACCAGTGATGGCAATAAAGTCTAACTGTAACATTAAATTAGAATATGATATGGTTCATAAATATTGCATGCAAAGTCTACCATGTTGCTTACACCTCAACTAGATAGTTCATAAATGAAGCTAATCAAAGATATAATTATAGAGACCGACTCGTAACTCTAAGAAACTCATGGACCACGTCGTCCATTGGATCGAGGGTGTGGCTTAATCGGTGTCATCAGTTCAACAAAAACAATGTTGGAATATGAGTTGAATTTTTAGGCATGCATATCTGTTTTTGTTCAACTAATATTCAAGTACCAGACCGCGTTGAAACACTTCAAATTTTCCTAAAATAAAACCATACATAGAGAAATAATACCTAGCAAACCTGAAGAGAAGATTTGAATGGTCACTGGTTCAATCTGGTTCAATCTGTAATACAAATGCTTTATTGTGAAGCTATTGGATTATATAACATGAATGATTTTATCTTCGAGTCAATGTTCTCAAGCTCAAATTTAAAACTTAACAAATTAATGTGTGAAACGTATCCTTATACTTGTCAAACTTATGCATTCGCATAATTTTCAATCACTACCAAACAATAATGGTCTCGTCTATTAGTTTGTTAACTCTATTTTTTTTGTCGTCTAGTAGTTTGTTAACTCTTTTTTTTATTTTATAATTTTAATAGTTAAATGACTGAAATTTATTCTTTAAAAAAAGGTAAACAAATAGGATGAAATTCCACAAGATCATGGAACACTAACATATGCATTTGGTTACGACCCTTTCGTTAATAATTACAAGGCTGTTTCTGTGTTTTGCTATGATTTTGAATACACCTGCTGCCAACTACTAGGACATATTGATTTGTTTAGCTCTGATATTGCTGAGATTAGTTAGTTGTAAATTAATATATATATATATATATATATCAATGCTGATTTTGGTTGCTGTAATGTTTCCCTATATTTCAACATCATAATCAGTAAGCTGCTATTTTAAAAGATATGGAAATCAGTGTTTGTAATGCTTGTACTATATATCTGTGAAAAAAATAAAAAAAGGACACAAGAACCATAATTTGTTAGTAGACCAGCTGTTAGAAAGGTGTATGTTAGGAAGGGCAAAAGTGGGAATTAAGCTTGTAACTCTAATTATTATAGTTGTAACAAATGAGTAACTAATTCAGTAAGTAAAACAGAATATACATAGTAGTTATAGTTGTAACAGATGAATAACTGATTCTATTAGTAAAACAGAATAATAAATAGTAATTGGAGGGAAGGGAGTGTTAGTTTTTGAACTCAGTTGTAATTGGAGAGTGGCTTTCTAGAATCAGTAAGTTTATTGCATACTCTGAATTCTTTTGAGAATTCTTATCTTCTTTCCTTGTACCAGTTGAACCTTCCATAATTCATGTCATCTATCTTTAAATTGTTGACTCTGTCTTAACCCTTTATGCAGGAGAAGAAAGCTCTAAAGGAAGAAAAATTGAAGCAAGAGGAGAAATACACATGGGCTATTGTCGACGGTGTTAAAGAGAAGTTAAAGAAGAGAATGTTGATTGTGAGGAAAACTACAAGAGAGGAACAAGTTTTGGAAGCCATTTTAGTAAAACTCTTGTAGTAATATAGCTAGTATTATGTTGCAAATACTAGTTATTAGCTACTATGGCTTAAGGGGAGAGTGTGAGTTATAGTTGTGTATGATATAGGGGTTTATATAGTGCTTGTGAGGTTTTACAGTATACCATGTGGGATGAGTTGTATAAAGAAGTAATGGACAAAATGTATAATAATTATAAATTATGAAATGGTACAATAGAAGAGATTGAGGAAATGAAGCAACATGTGAAAGAGTGAGTTTTAGCTGGCAGATGAAAACCTTGAAATATGTTTAGGTTTTTTGGATGCTTGTGAGGGCAAGTCACAATATCACTGACATCAATCTATTTCATATCACAAAAATTAACATATTACTGAAAGTGAAAAATATTTCGAAAACCATGTAAGATGTAGGTAAAATGTATTTTTCATTTAAAATACTTTTTTAAAATAAAAAATATTAAAAGAAAATATAAGATATACATATGTTAGTCTAAATCCTGCATTACATAGAAGAATCGCTAACCATCTTGGTTTTGGTTTTGGTTTTGAAAGAGAAGAGTGTGTGTAATATATGCCTACTGTGTGTAATATATATTTTAATCCTACTGTGTGTAATATATGCCTACTGTGTATTACACTTGGTATGCTGCTTTGGTTTTTGTTGCAGGTAACTTTTCTCTTCTATGATTTCTACCAACTATTGATATGCTGCTTTGGTTTTTGTTGCAGGTAACTTTTCTCTTCCACTTGCTTCGCTGCTCTTCAAACCCTCGTGCGTCTTTGAGGTATGATTTCTGTTGTACCCCAAAATTTTCCCTCCCATATTCTTCAAAACTTGCCAAGTCAAAGCTTCAAAATCTCTTCAAGGGTTGCACAATTCAAGGGCCTCCTAACAGTCAAAAACTAGGGTTTTGGTTCTGACAAAGAAAATGAAGTTTCCAAGGGTCCAATCAAGTCCCACATGCTTATAAACATGGTCAATCATCCTCATACCAAGTTTCAAGACTTACAGCACAAAATTGCACAGTCAAAAACCCTAATTGCCCTACAGTCAACTATAGGGGCAAAATGGTCATTTGACAGTCAAAAGTTCAAATTTTTGGTCAACATCTCATTTTGAAGCCACAAACATCATTTGATCAATGCTTGATCATGATTCTCAAAGTATGGCTCAAAAAGTCTCAAGATGCAAAAGTTTCCATATTTGGACAGTTGAAAAAGTCAATTGTAACTTGACCAAGGCATAACTTTCACATGGATTATCAGAAAAATTCCCTCCAAAGCTCATTTTGAATAGAAAGACATTTCCTACAACTCCTCTTCACACTTCAAGTCCAAGAAATGCTCTCACAAAAAGTTATCAATTTCAACATTATAGGTCATTTTCAAAAGTCAACAAAAAGGGACTTTAAGTCAAAGGCCATAACTTGAGATTGGTAAATCAAAATGACATGGGACCAAAGGCATTGGTTAGAGGACTTCAAGACCTTTCCAAAACGTCAAAGAACATGATCAAAGCTTAAAAATTGAGCAAGATATGCCTTGTGGAAGTTGGGAAATTTTTGGATATTTTGAAAAGTCAACTTTGCTTCAAATACCTTAAAATTGCTAATGGGCCTCTTTTTCTTCCAAGATTCATCATCCAAAGCATGTGCACGACCACTTGGCCCAAAGGGGATTTTTTTTATCATTTTTATTATTTATTTGAATTTTTAATTACAATTAATTCATTTAATTAATTAAAATGTGGAAAAAATACTAAACCAATGCAATCAAATCTTTTTGTGCAGAATAAACTCTCATCAAGGCCTAAGGATTTCGTGCATATCAAAAGAGGAAAGAATTGGTGCAAATTGGCATGATTCTTCATGAAAAGATATTGAAAAAGATTCATAAAAATCAAATCTTGAAAACCATTAAAAGCAAGGCTATGGGCTTGGATTATTGACTGAATACATTCCTTATACAAGTGCAAACCTAACCCTAAAGCTCAAAACCTCCAAGCTGCGCCAGAAAAGAAGAACAAAGTTTGCACTTTTTGTGAAAAATTCAAAAACTGAAAACCATATTCTAGCACGATTCAGAGGAAAATAACAATCCCAATAGCTTGCCAAGGCGTCAAGGAAGCTTCCTGAATCGTTTTCCAGTCCCCACGACTCCAGAATTGGTATATGGGTGTTCAACTTTCTCAAAACTTTTCCATAATCGTATTCTAATATGCATGCATTTTTGATACATTTTGACTGTTGATTTAGACTAATGTGAAGGTTCTGAGACTAATGGTGACCTTTAATTTGACTAACAATGCTTGTAGAGAAAATTGCCATTGGAATGTTTTAGGGTTCCTCAAGTTTCAAATTGGGAATTTTTGTATAATGTAAAATTAGAACATTCCAATGCCATGGCTAAACTTAGGAAGCTTGGATGAACATAAAACACCAGTCGCGCTCAATTTATATAGCCTCACATGCTAATCGCTATTTTGGAAAAGGCTGTATTTTGGGGGGGTTCAAAACCCCCGCTAATTCTTTTTATGTTTCAGGAAAAATACAAACAAGGAAGAAGAAGATTAGGTGGCGAGCGATGGTTCGGTAATTTGAATCCAACGCGCGTTTTTTATTTATTTTCTAGGCCACTAACCAAGTTTTCTCTTATATTATTTATTTGTCATTATATATTCAAAGCGCGCGTTTGGTACAGATGGTGAAGGTGTTGTCTCATAAGGCATTGGGACCTGGATTCGATTCCCAGATCCCCCACGTTCTTTCAATATTTTTCCTCCCAACGTGATTCCCTGCAGCGCTTTGTCTGAAGATCCATCATGTAGCCTCATATCCAGCTTGCCACATGGCCTATAACCTCAATCCGAAGTCCAACGTTTGAAGAATACCATGGACATTGGTCAGCACACGCACACGCTTCCAGGAAAAGTCAATAAGGCTAAGGGCTATTGGGCCAGAATTACTAGATTACACCTCCAGTTTGGGGACAGAACCCCCCATGGTTTGCTTTTTTATTCTTTTTTCATATTTTGCCATTTTATTTGTTTTGTTTAATTTTTATTCAGATCTTTAAATTAATTTATTTTCATAAAACATAAAAAAGAAATAAAAATCAGAAAGTCATAAAAAATAAAAAATATTTTATTTAAATGTTATTTTTTGTAAATAAAGTCTTACTAATTAATTAGTTTAAATTCTAGGATTAATGTTAATATTTTCTAATAAACTTAAAATTTGTAGAATTAGGTTTTAATTGCTTTTACTTTTTCTTTATTATTAATTATTAATTATTATTTTTGTAAATAAAAATTGAATTAATTAATTAGGTTTAATTTTAGGTTAAATTTTAATGCTTTTCTTAATAAATTAAAAACAACTAGAATTAGGGTTAATTAACTTTTTTTAATTCCATTTAATTCTCATAAAAATTTATAAATACAAAAAACTCCAAAATTCTTTTCTTTTACTTTAATTTAATTAATTTGTTAATAGTAATTTAATTTCATTAAAAAGGGTCCAACGCCCTCACATTCGATCGTAATTCCAATTCGCGCCTTTATTTCCTTCTTTTAAAATATTAATGTAATTCTCCCAAAGCCATGTAAACTTTTTATACTTCTCGCACTTTACTTTATTTTATGTCAAATCGGGTCCTGGATTTAATTTGGCGATGTGGACCCGCGCCTTTGTAATAGTTTAGGAACTTTATATTTCTCGCAACTTTTTAACTGCTAATAAATTGCATGCAAGAATGAATGTTAAAATAAAAACAAAAGTGTAAATCACCCATGACATGAACAAGACAAAATATCTGAAAACGACACACAAATCACACACCACCCCTAGGGTATGCCTCACTGTTGCCTTGCCTCTCGAAAGGTGATCGTCGAGTAAAGGATGTCTTAGTAAGTCCTCATGATCCGGGAACCTGGCATGAGGGTAGCTTCTAAGGTATCTTTCTATTGCTCTGGTGATCACCATGTCCCGAACCTTCGAATCGACCCGAACACCTCCAACGGTGGTGCTACCTACCTCTCAATGGTGGGATGGCACTACTTTTAAAGGACATTTACACAGACGAATTCCTTAGGGTAGGTAGACGACTCTAGATACTTGCTCTAATTTCAAAACAAATTCAAAAAATACTTTTCACACCAACACTTTTCAAAAAGCTTTCGAAAGCAACTTTTCAAACACTCTTGAGGACCGATACAAGAGTCGAACTGAAATTTTCAAAGAAACTTTTTAAAACCCACAATTGAAAAGCAAAAAAACCATTTTTGAAAACACAAATGAGCAAGTATCTAAGAGCCCATGGATAACCATGGATAGAAAGGGTGCTAACACCTTCCCTTTCTATAATCTACCTCCCGAACCGAGAGCAATCTCTACAAGGAATTTTTCTGTGCTTTTGTCCTTTCCATTTGGAGAAAATAATAGACGGTGGCGACTCTTGCTTCCGCGACATTTCGCGAACCAGCTTTAAACAGTCAGTTCCAGATCCACCGATCACAATTTCATTCTTAAATTTGAGTGTGCCTTTACTATATCACTGTTTAATAGTGTTAGACTAAAAAATTTTATCTTATAAGAATTTTATCTTAAATTTGAGTGTGCCTTTACAAATACATTATTCTTATAAGCAATTGTAATAACCAAAATTACAATGTTTGCAATCATACGGGACCGCAAAAGCACTTTAAAATCCTAGTACAAAGCAATATTAAGGTCGCACTCGCACACTGACACAACATAAGTAAATATTCTTGAAGTACCTAGCTAAATGTAGTAAACATATTGATATGAAGTATTTATCCATATATGTCTGTTACATGAAACTGTATTATACTAATTGATATCACAAGGCTTCACCTATAAACTTGTTATGTAGTGTGTAAAAACAAATTAAACAACCAATAATAAAACTCATCTCTTTTATTTTTCTATTGTTTATATTCAAAATAACATGTTCTCGTAAGTACTAGAATTCTGAAAATATAATTTTTTTTTTGAAGAAATGGATAAGTCATGGATTATTAAGCCACAATCATCGATTGCGTATCAAAAAGGGATACAAGAATTTATTGATTTTGCATTTAAAGGTGCAAAAGAAAACTACGTAGTAATATGTCCTTGCAAACGTTGCGGTTTCAAAAAATTAAAGAGTAGGAGTGACATGTTCGACCACTTAAGTTGGTCACCATTTCCGCAGGGATACACCATGTGGATCCATCACGGAGAGTCTTTTGTACGATCTAGTACCATCTCCCCTAGTACTACTCCAAGTATGGTAGAAGATACTAACATTGTCGAAGAACCTATTCAGAACATGATCAACGATGCATTTGGAGTTTATAGGAATCATGCAAATGAAATACCATCTGCGTCAAATTTGGAGATTGAACAAGAAGATTATGTGATGCCAAGCTCAACTCAGGAAAGAAACGAAGCCAAGGAGTATTATGAGTTGGCTAGAGAAGGAGAACAACCTTTATATGAAGGGTGTAGACGATATTCAAGACTA